CACACACATAGTATAAGTTTTAAACAAACAATTTAATACTGGTACACAGTGATGATGATTGTGAAGCTTGGTTGAGGTGGAGGAGTCAGAGGGAGGGATATTTTCCAGGGAATGCCTTACTGCTAAATGATGAACTAGCAATTGGCTGAGCCCTCAAGGGTTAACTCTTACACTCTACAAGGCAGCAGGAATGGAGGGAGCATCACAGACAGAGACAGAGACACACACTGTGTGTGTGTGTGAAAGAGATGCACATTTTCCCCCTAAGTACACTGCCTTGTTAATTAGATCTGCTTGCTGAGATCACAGCTGCTGCCAGCAAGCTCCCTCCATTCTGAGCCCTGTTGTGTGTCCCCTGCTCTATGGAAGATGGGGTAAGCGGGGTGCAGGAGCAGGGGGGAGGGGGACACCCTGACATTAGCCCCCTTCTTCCTCCCCTCCCCCCTGCACAGCAAGCAGCTCCAAGGCAGAGGGCAGGAGCAGCACATGGCAGTGGCGGGAGGGACAGCTGCAATTGCTAGCCTGATGGGCAGCTGCTGCACAGGGAACTTAGGGGAGCAGGGAGCTGGTAGGGGGGCTGCCGGTCCACCCTGGTTCCAAGCCCCCACCAGCTAGTTGCAACGGGCTGCTCTTCCTGCAAGCAGTGGACAAAGCAGGCGGCTGCCAAACGACGTTAGAAGGGAGCATTGCACAACTTTAAGTGAGCATGTTCCCTAATTGATCAGCAACGTAACAACGAAACAACGTTAACCAGGATGACTTTAAATGAGGAGTTACTGTACTGTATTGAGGCCAATGGTAATTTTGATGGCAGAGGGGCCCTGGGTGAGACCAGTGAGAACGTTAAACTGATTGCTGTACTCTGCCACAAGTTAGTCATGTATCTCAAGCCCCTTCAGGGCAAGAAGAGTGTTCTATGTGTCAGATCTGCACAATAGTACAAAAGTTCTAGCCTTGCAAGCTCATGCAATACCATGCCTTATCCTGCCTCATGTTCCAGACCCGATTGCCTAATACTGGCTTCACAACAGTGTAATTTTGGACGAAGTTCCATAAATGAGTAAGGGAGGAAACGTAGGTTGGCTTTAAAAATAAAATGTGGAAGCTCTGAGATTTGGAATAGTGGAGATGGCTTAATAGACAGAGGCCCAGAGGGGTGTGAGAAATAACTATCCCATGGCCATCCTCTCCTCCGGTGGTAGCAGAAAGGCTTAGTGAAACCAACTTATTTAGCATTTGCCTAGAATACTTGGCCTAACAGTCCTACTCTTGCAGCTCATTAATAGGATTGCTTTATAATCCCTGAAACCAAATGCCCCACCCCCTGCCCCACCTGCCTTCCCCCTCCATTGCTTGCTTTCTACCCCCACCCCCATCACTCGCTCCCTCATCCCCCAGGATTCACCTGCTGCCTGCAGAGCTGGGCTGGGAGGAGCTGATGCGGAGCCTGCCTGCCTGCCCAATTGGGGCACAGCAGGAGTCAGTCCCCAGAGCGAAGGGCTGGGGAAATCAGGGCACAGCGGTGTGGCAGGGGGGTCCCTGGAGCGAGGGGCTGGGGTGGGGAAATCAGGGCCCAGCAGGCCGGGGGGGCAGACAGGATTCCCCCCTTGTCCCCCTCCAGACGACACCAGTACCTACTTTGGAGCCTGGTCCGGGAGCTAGCCAGTTCTCTTCGTCAGGCTGGGGGGCGGGAAGAGCAGCTGACCAGATGCTGCCAGGTTCCCTTTTTGACCAGACGTTCCGCTCAAAAACCAAACACCTGGCAACCCTAACCAAGTGGGCAGGTGCCCAAAACACAGCACCTCCACTAGCAGAGTCCTCACTGTACTCTAGCAGTAACTCAGTATCACTTCAAAGAGAGCACTTACTGAATTACCAGTCTCATTTCCTGTAGCATCCGTTCATAGGTTTTTGTTTTTATTTTTAAACAGAGATATTATCCAAATATTGGCTTGGCTTAACCTTGTTTAGCACGGAGATCTGACAAGATCACAACGTCACATGTCCAGTATAATACCAAACTCCCATTGAAGACACTGATCATCACTAGAAGTTAAGAATTTGGCCATCTGAAGTCAGTGGAAATTTTTCCTGAGTTTAAGAGTAGAGCTTTGAGCCTTGGGTTACTTCAAAGCTGATATATTGGTTAAAGAGAAATCAGAGTTTGTAATTTCTCTCTCATTTGCCATAAAAGAGAACATTTCCTTTCCTTGCACTGCACCCCACAATATTTAAGATTATTATAATCAGGCAGATTAGATGGGGCTTTATTTCTGCTTAGTCAGTGTACACATCAGCTGGTTATATTCTTTTAAAAAATCTAAGCTTATTTAGTCCCCTTTAAAAACAAAATGTGGTTTTAGGTAGTTAACATCTTTTCAGGGTAACAAAATTGTAATGTTTCATAGATTTTTATATGGAGATATTTCATTAGTGAAACAATCACCCCAAACAGCTACTAAGAATGTCATATGGCTTCCCCCCAAGCCTTCTGCCCCTCCCCCAAATATTTCCAAAAGTGTGCTGCCACCTTTACCATACAACCTGACAGTCTCAAACAGCAACAAAGGCCTTTATTCCAGGTTGATCAGCCTCTTAAGAGCGTGTGAAATTCTTCTGCTAAAGAAAATTAAATACATGTGCATTTTGGGATTACATGCAATATGTATACAGAATTGTCATCCTGCTCCATAAAATCATACCTTCACCTGCGTCTGTGTGGGGTTTACTAGAAATCCAATGCAGGAGCTTTTCAGGATTTGCAGTCGGAGGACCAATGCTGTACTACTTCACTAATGGAACTCCCAGTGAAATCACTAGGGATTTTGCTGAGAGAGGAGCATGGGATCTGCCCCTAGACTTGTATGTTTACATTCTTCTATGAGCCTTTTATTTCTGGACTATCCTGACAATGTTATCAATAACTATGCTCTGTGACAGGGTCAGGCCAGACTGCTACAGGAGAGTGCCGGAGGGAAGGTATATTAGCCTCAGGATACACAGCGGTCCCTCTTCCCCTGGAAACTGAGCAGGGGTTACTCCAGGTTAATTAGGACACCTGGAGTCAATTAAGAACCTGCCAGAACAGGTTAAAAGACTTCCCCAGGCAGTCAAAGGTGTCATAGGTGTTATGAGAGTGGTGGTGAGCTGAGCGGAAGCTGACAAGAACCCCGGAAGAACCCCACCCTAAACAGGAGCTAAGGACTGTTCTAGGTCCAAAGACCTGAAAAAAAGGACCCTTCTAGAGGGGAGAGACTGAGCTGTGAGTTTGCTGTGGTGCTGTCATGCCCAGAAGGGCTACCAAAGACTAGGGGTTCTCCCTCCCCCGGCAGGAGGTTTGGGAGGAACCCTGCCCAAGCAAAGTGGGGGCAATAAGCCAAGGGGCATGGGGAAGTAACCCAGGGAAGCTAGCAGCTTTTCCTGGGAACAGGCAGCGTGAGGCTGCTATTTGTAGGGTCCCTGGGTTAGGGCCCAGAGTAGAGGGTGGGATCGGGCCCTCCCACTCCCTTTTCCTGTCACTGGATGTCCACTGAGGAGGCCAGAAGCCCCAGTGAAGTAGTGAGGGCCTAGCAGGCCCAGAAACAGGAAGGCCACTTGGAGACAGAATTTCCCCACCAACTATAAACGGGGTGGGAATTCTGAGAGACGAGACTCGATCCTGACCCACTGCTAGAAGGAAGCGTGAGACCCACCGAGGTGGAGAAGAAGCCCTGTTACAGCTCTTACCAGCCTTAAAGCTTCTTGTTCTTAAACCAATGTCCTTCAAGATTCATGAAAATTAATGGAAAATTCCTCAGTTTTGTGGGCATTCGAGTCAGATTCCTAGCCAGGTTTTTGCAAGTCAATAGCAAGTAATTTGGTTGGAGGACAACTACAGGAATTTCAAGTCAGACTCTTATGAAGTGGTCATTCTACTTTCACTTATACCATAATGTAGTGCAAATTATTCAAAATCAACATCAATATGAGTGGAATTTGGCCCAGATTTTTAGACCGAATTCTACCTTTCTTTGTATCATCAAAAACAAAGTTATTAAATCCTCTTGATTAGTGCTTTATTTTGGAGGACAAGCAAACTGTCCTATTGTGATATTCAGCATATATATTTGTCTACATGAACCTAAATATTTTAATAAGAAAACTCCTGCCTCTGAAATCTAAACAAACCCCAAACTGTGCTAGGGTGACCAGATGAGAGGAAGAAAATATCGGGATGCTGGGGCGGGGTCAGCTGGCGGAGCCAAAAAAAAAAAAAAGTGCTGCTGCAGGCAGAGAGAGAAAAACAAAAAACTGCTGGCGGAGTGAAATATCAGGACAAACACCGAAAAATCAGGATGGTCCCACCCTAAACTGTGCAGACAGAATCAGAGAGTGAGGTAATAGCCTGGACCAACTTCTGTTGGTGAGAGAGACAAGCTTTCAAGCTCTTCAACAGGACATTGTACCAATAGAAGATATTACCTTGGCCCTTCTTCTCTCTCTAATATCCTCGTACCAACAACAATACTGCATATAGACAGAATCATACACTTTCTGAGGACCAAATATAAGGAAGCAAAACACAGTTTTAAACAAATATAAAGATTTATTTCCACTTAAAAAAAAAAGAGAATATACTGGGGTATGCAATATAAAGATCCAAATTATTGCAAAGAAAAACAGAATCAGATTAGACATTTAACGCCATCCAGAAGCAACCTTTTTTAAAATAAGATAGTTTCTTGGAATTCTTAATGCACACTATGTGTGTTGTTTCTATTCGTATCACAAGTCCTCCTAGAACATCAAGAAAATATTTCTCTGTATGTATAAAACACAGTAACACAATATGCTTTATAAAAGCTAGCATGTTCAAAGGAAAGAAGACAGCGAGTGTCTCAATACTTTCCTTATAATGTGACATTGTTTCCAAACAAGTAGTAACAGACATTACATATGCAATTCCATAAATATATATACAAACATTAAATTAGATTTGTTATAAATGTTTTCACATAATATATATCTGTGGCTCTGAAACAAATATACTCTTCTTTTAATTTATTAGCTGTACAAAATTAGCTAGGTAACAGACGAATTCCCTGTTATTGTTGTGAACGTGCGTGAGCAAGTGTTCCAAATAGTCTGTCCCAGTGAGTGAAGTAAGGAGCATAGTTACATTTGAACTTCAGGTGATGGAGATCATGATGCGGAGCTCCTCCATACAAGCCAAATGGCATCAGTCTGTTTGTTGACCATGGAAGTTCATAGCCTGAATGATCCTCCACTGACAGCCAGATATTAACAAGGAAGAAAATCATTTCTGTCAAAGGATGGCACTTCAGCAACACTGGATTTATGGCAGCAAAAAATCCCAGTGAAAGTAACTCCCAAACACTTGAGTACTGTGTGGTAAGAGCAAACGTAGATACATGCTTATGATGAACCTTGTGAAAAGTCTTGTAGAGCCAAGGCACCTTATGATGAAGCAAATGCCACAGAAAATACTGGAAGTCAAAGAGAAGCAGGCAAACCGTTACATCCAGCAGGACCCTCGGCAGGTCTGGAGCCATTACTGGTAAATCCACTGGTCTCCAGTACCAATGAGCAACTGTCACTGGGAAGATAAAGACAGCGTGATGATAGACACATTGAACCATACACGGTACCATCATTCCCAGAGTTGGATAACTCAGAGGCTGGATTTTGTATTTTCTCACGGCTGGGACTTTAGTGCTTAAGAAGTCCAGTGCAATGTAAGGAAGACAGAAAGTCAGGTAAGCTGTAAAAGAAAACAGTACTGGAAAGTAAGGCGACTTGAGCAATTGCTCCTTTGCTTTGACAAAGTCCCAGAGGAGCTGCAGAGTGACTGGGTCTAGCCTCTTCTCCATTCCGTAACTGAGCAGCACGCTGTGGTGCACGCTGCAGTTCATGTTGATGCTGTCTGAGGCTGCTGTGATTGTGCTGCTTTTGTAAGACTTTACCCCACCCACTTAGTGACATCACACACAACGTGGTCACAAGCACTCCAGAAGGAAATCTCTCTCAGTCCAAAAACAACAAAGTGCACTACAGCGTCAGAGCTGGTAGATGTGTCTCATTAGCCCGTCTATACTGGAGACTAATTTTGTAAATTGATGTATAGTTACAGGACAAGGCAATCATTAATATACTAAAACCCCCTCACTGTATTATATGAATGGTAACTAGAAACAAGCGAGTGTGCTATCCCTGAACAATAGTAACAAGAGAAAAGGTTGGAGTAGGATTTTCTGTGCCACTTCACCCCAGACATTTTAAAGAGCTGTCATTTTACCATTTCGTAAATCAAAGCAGTGGCAGCTCTGGCTCAACGCCCATAGCTACACATTAATCAGGTCAAAATGTTGTATTTTTTCTATAATTCATACTAAAAGATTTACTTGAATTTAAACCCCACATATGACCCCCAAACTCTTTTGAGGTGAGAAGGGAAGAAATTGGAACCCAGGTCCACACATATTTTGCAAACAGCCCAGATTCCTCTCTGTAAACAGTCCTTACACACACCCCTGCCAAGTATACAACCATGTGCTTTATTTACCATATGCTATACAAGTGCTTGTCTCTATCAACATAAGGCTTTTACCTTTTGCCCAGACAGAGGGGTTGGTTTCCATGGCCTTTCCTTCCAGCCTTCCCTACCCTACCCTCCTCTCTTTTCACTGTCCTCTGCTGACAAGCTGAATCACTTTAACTGGTTAATCACCTGGTGCTCAATCGATTATCTTTTCAATTTGTGCCATGTGGGGATGCTTAAAAAGAGCATAAAGCGGTGAGTCTAGCTTAGGCTACTCACTCCTAATCTCCATAATGGGCACAATCAACCCCCCAAATCAGGCTGTGGAGCTGAATTTGTGCCTTTGGCCCAAATCTGTCTAGTTCACAGCACATATTCAGGTTGTGATCCTGCACCCACTAAAGGAAGTGACATTGACTTAAGCTGGGTGCAAAACTGGGCCCTTGGTTATTTTATTTTATTTAAATACATCATCTCACATCAAATAGTACAACATTAACGCACACTAGGGAACTTTTAGTATACACCAGCAGGGTCCACATGGGCCAGTTAGCACACAACACTTTAGTGCACACTAGAATTTACACCCCTCTGGTGCAGACTAATGCACCACATGGACAAGCCCCAAGGTTTCTGTGTCAGTGTAAAACAAACTGAAAATCATTTCAGTTACTGAGCACACTATTGAAATAAGTACTTTCATAGCCTCTCTGTATTTAACTCATCATTATACACCTAGCTTTTCACTCAGTTCATGATGCCGCCAAAGTTTCCATATGCTACAGGGTTGCAAATTGGTACCTCACAAAAATCAGAGAGTCTTGCTTTAGAGATTAGGTTGAACAACCCATATATTGGAATGAGGTCCTGCAGATGAATACCCACAGAATGCACATGAGTGCATGACTCCAAAACCCTCTCCCAGTCCCAGCTGCCAGGGGCGAGGCTCACAATGTGGAGCTCCTCTGCACAAGTCTAACAGCTTGATGAGGGAAATTCAGACCCTGAAAGATCCACCATCAAGAACAAAATGTTAACAATGAAGAAAATTCTGTATTTGTTTTCCCAGAATATTTTGATAGGGACCCAAGATCAGCGCTCAGAGCAGGGGCGTCAAATTCCATCCTACTGTCCACAGTTATGGGGATAGATCAGAGGGCAGGTCCAAATGCACATTAAGCCCCTTACCGGAAAAGGGAGTTCGGGAGAAGGGTAGGCAAGCTCTGTAGGACAGCAGCTGGAGAGGAGAGTCATTCAAGCCTTGCCTAAGCTACAGATATTACTGCAAAGGAGGGTAAAGGCTTCCCTGTCTCTTTTATTTTAGAACATGCCACTAAGCATGATACAAAAAGGAAAGATAACTTGGGTCCTTACATAAAGACTCACCTCCAAGAAGCTGTGTGAAACAAGTTGTATAATCCCTGTGGTTGAGGTCTGTAAAAACAGCATGTGCTAATAGCTAATGGGTTTGTTCTGAGGTTGTTCAGAAAGCCCCTTTGAGATAACAGGAACTAGATGCAGAGTATTATTTATGAGTGCATCTGCACCACCTTGTGGCCAAAACCAGATTTCAAATAGCTTTATCAATGACATAAGATTAAGTGGTTTTAAGATATAAGCTTGTATCAGAGAGACTTAGTTATAATGGCTATTTTGGAAGTAAAGATTTCCTTTAGGCTGTCATCAGTGTATAATCTTGCAGACAGTTTCACTGAAAGCTTTAGCCCACAATTCTAATCAGAAACTTTTTGGCCCAAATGTTTTAAAGTGTGTAGACCAAAACACACATCCTTTTGTATACACAAAACACTTGATGTGTGCACACACTGGAGTCTGCAAATACTGGGCTTATGCATATGCTTCACATGTTGCATGTCTTTTTTTTTTTAAATGTAGACCTGTGTGTCGATTGATTGATTAACTGTGTCTCTAGTCTCTTGCTTTCTTGATACTGATCACCTCATTAGAGTATAAACCTAACTCAGACCTAACTCTACACTTAAAAGTTTTACCAGTATGACTATTTCTGTTGTGGGAGGGGGGAGGAGTTGACTTTTAGTAAAACAGGTACACTGATACAAGCCCTAATGTGAATGCACTTATATCAGTTGAGTTAATCTCCTGCACATACTGGAATCACCTTTATACAGATATTACTGCATCCACATTAGGAGGGGTTGTACCACTTCAACTATACTAGTATAGCTGAAATGGCACAACTTTCTACTGTCTTCAAGTCCACAATAGAAGGAATACTGTGTTCCCTTTGTTCCCATACTGATGCATTTTTACGTAGTTCCAAGTTGTTTTATACCCCCAACCCTCAAGTGTCACAATATTATACAAGTAGTATATGAAAAAAACCCTTCCATTTCCAGTGGAAAGTTTCTTGCAACATCAGAAATTCTTTGTAGAGGAAACTCACTTAAAGCGTCAAACATGGTAAGACGACACTGATGGACATATCAGGACACTCTTTATGGATGCCATTAACACAACTTCCGCTGCAAGTGATAATGTGAACACTACCTGGAAAGTGAAAAGGAGGGCAACCCAGAGAAACATCATGCAGAACAACAGAGAAAAGTGAAATCCATCAACATGACACTCAGAAGCCTAAACATATCAGCACAAGACAGAAATAAATGGTGGAAACTGGTGAATGCCCTATGCACCTCAGGGTGCAGGATGCTAAAGAAAGAAAAGTGTAATAAGCCAGCAGATGGCAGCTATGAGAATCAACAGTTGGGAGGAGCACCATCTTGGCAAGAATGTGAGCAGGGGCGGGGGGGAAAAGGGCCTTGGTGGAAGGAGGAAGGACGGTGTTGTTCTGGCTGTGAGTGTGTGTGAACCCAAGGAACAGGACTGTGACGGACACTGCAAGACTGGGGCTGGTAGTGAACATCAGGCCCGCCGATGGGGGAGGGAGGACAAAGGGGGCAATTGCCAGCCACCACCACTGCAGCGGCAGCCAGGAGCCCCGGGCCCTTTTAAATCGTCTGGGCAGGCCACAGGGCTCCTAGGCGCACACGACCGCTCTAAACCCCGTGGGCTGGCGCAGTCGGTCCCAGAAGTAATGGCATCCCGGAAGTGACAAATTGTCACTTCCACCCCAGGCCCCGCTCCCTGCCGCTCGGGACAGCCCTGGGGCCCGGAATTGCTATCTATGGGCCTGGTGAACACTTTGGACTTAGGCTCGCATGTGTCCTGAGGGAAGGTGAAGGCTGAGTAGTCGAGGAGCAATGTACCCCACCAGGCTGCAGGTCCAAATTAAGTAGCAACTGAACCATGCATCTCAACAGGCTAGTGCATCTCATCTTTATGTGCACCAGCGGTGGGATTAGAAGCATCAGGTGAAGGGTAAAGATTTTGACACCTCCAGAGGTGGAGAAAGGAATTATGCCATTGGGATTTTTTTTTCTTTTACTATTTCACTGTTGCTGTCGAATTCTTTTGAGTCCCCCGTGCCCTTTCAGTCTGTTGCTCTGAACCCATTTCCATGCCTAATAGTCTTTTATATAAATGGTTTTAGAACTCATGTGTGTGCAATTAGGTTTTTGTGTTGGGGCTTCAGACTCCACGTAAGCAATGGGGGTCTCTGCACAACCCAAAGAGAAATAGGTGCAGGCGTGTGCTACCTTAGGACAGGAGTTCCCAAACATTTGCTTTATCTAAAGGGGCAATAAAGTAGTGATCTGCCGTAGAGGAATTGCCAGGGTGTTACCAGGGGGCTTGTCTCCGATCCGCAGAGGGCTCCCCAGAGCAAGCTAACCCTTGGAAGGACACTGTCACAACCCAATGGCCCCCTCCCTCAGGTCCCCTGTGAAGGCAGATCAGCACTGCATGTTGCTAACGTGGTTGCAAGCATCACAAGGCATTTCGGTGGAGGGTCAAAGGTGTGGGTGTGGAGTGGAGGATTCCTTTGCAGGTTGCGAGAGGCCAAAAGGGGAAGGAAGGAAGAGAGCAGAGAACGGATTAACTCGACACTTTAGCTAGCTCAGTCCGAAGATAAGATGTTGACTCCCGCCAGCTCAAGGCCGCAGCACGCATCTGACTCTTGGATGCCTGCCAAGAAAGATGGGGCCCTGGATTCCACCCCGACCAGCCGTGAGAAAGGAGGATTCAGGTGAACAGACTTGCAGGGGATTGCAATACTGGCAAGACGGTGAAGGCCAGCGAGGGGGAAAACAGTCTCAAGTCTATGAAGCCGGTATGTTTTGGGAACGCTGAGGAAGCCACAGAAAGCCGGTTTGGAGTGGTACAAAAAGCAAGGACAGAGATCCCTGAACAAGATGCCCCCAAAAGAACCCAGGACTTAAAAACCCTCCTGAGAGCCGAAGCAAATTGGAGATCGACAGCGGACCCTGGACGACC